CGCGAACGTCACGTACGTTCAACCGGTTTCAGCGCGCGCGGTTTGTCATTAACTCCGTGCACCCCGGCGCAACGTGGCAGCGTCCGGCCGCGCTGCGTTTCTTCGCGGTTTGTGGCGAGCGCCAGCAGCAGCCGGAAGCTATCATAATTACGCTAATGCAGCAACTTAAGCTTACACGGGTGCAGCTTGCGGTCAGGCTTAATTCGTCGATAATATCTTTCACGAGAACTGTGTGTTTAAGATCACAGGGTGGTCGAGCTGGGTGGTGAGAGCCTCGCGCGCTAAAAATCCTACTTACAGATAAGAAGAAGGACAAGGAACGATTAAAAGTCACTGCACAGGGTGTCCCAGAACAACCTTCGATAGCTCTCGTGGAGGCATAAAAGTCCTTATACCGTATTAAAGAAGATTTGTGAATGATCACGCGAGAATATGGTAGATAAACTATAGTGATATCATATGCTTGTACAAACTGAACCAAAAAGTCTTCTACTTCTTTCCTAATAGCTTTGTAGATTTTTAGTTTTAATTAATTTATATTTTGAGAACATTAATATATTATCACGAGCGACTAACCGTCAATTTTCTTCAATTGATATCTCGATAATTAATGCGAATATCACAAAATGGTATAGAACTTTTATGTTCACTTCAACCCGTACTATGTCTCCACAAGATTTTCGGAGATTGTTCTAGGAAGACACTCGGTATATTATTCTTTATAGTTACTACAATATGGCAATTATTACAGAAGAAAGAAACTTTTTATTCTTGGATTACACGAACGCTAAAAAAAGATGTTTTGTTCGTCCAGGTAGAGAATTCTGAGTGTCACAGCTTTTTGTCTGCTAAAAAAAGAAATCTGCTAGAAAATTGTGGTATGTGTAGAATTCACGGCAACAACATTCTTTTCGGATTATACGAATGCTCAAAAAATATCTTGCTCGTCCAGGTAGAATTCTGAGTGTCACTGTTAAAATTTTTGTATCTGCTAAAAAGTTTAGCGAAAGGAAAGAATTCAATAACAGCATTCTGACAATACCCGCAGATAAATTTAAATCCCGTTACTAATTATTAATCTGACCTTAATTATCTGATGAGCTCTACAGAGAGACTTTCTTTATGCTAAATTCTACAAATGGTTCAGATGGAAATTTTGTCTCTGCCATTTATATTGATGAAATATAAAACATTCACGATATCTCAGTATTTACCCATCTTAGTTAATTCTTCGTATCTAGATCATTTTTGCTCTGATTACAAGACTGTTTGAATGAAATAACGATGAAATTATCGCGATCAAATAACGATTGAAATTATCGCGACTAACGTTCCAATTAACCGGCTGGATCGATGCAAATCGATTCGTTCGAATTAATTGAAGCGGATTATTATCGTTGCGCCGCGTGGGGTTTCCGCAAAATCGCGACACTCCATCGCGGGGCGAATTAATTTATAATATCGGCTTCCATGTACCCACAGGGTTGTGTGTAACGCGCGACAAATAAATCTCTCCCCGATAAACTGGCGCTCGCGGATCGCTTTATATCATAGGAAACGCGACGCGGTTTTGAATACGGCGCGGTATCCGCTCGGCGGTCGAAGGAGAGGAGGTCGTGCAGTGGCCGGGACCCCCGAGGGTTCCCTGCGTCCCGATGAAATAGTGTCCGTAATCCGGCGTAAGTTAGCGCGGGCCGGTGTCCCACGGTGAGAGAGGAGGACGAGGTGGCCAACGTGGTGCCCGCGGAAGGGCCCGTCCGTGAGTACGCGGTGCCGAGTCCGCGGATCGACTGCGCGCGTTTCGCAGTTTTGAGGAGAAACGACAGGACGCGGGCGATGATCGAACAATGCATCGAAAGCGGAAGTGACTTTCGTGATTCCTGCTGCTTCTCTAGGTTAGGTTAGACGCAGGCTGGCAGCCATTTTCCGAACAGAAACGCCGCTGCTAAGGTACGGACGCGATTTTCGAACTTGACCGTCGCTGCGATATTTTATCGGAGAATCACGATAACAGCGCGCAGCGCACCGTGGCGCAGCGGTCGTCGCGCGTTAAGACATACACCGTGTATACGCTTTCGCGGCCGTTAAGGGAGCCCGGGATATTAAACGATCTTGCGGAGCAGCGGAGCAAGAGAGAACGGGAGAGACGGCCCGGCTCGTAAGGGGCCATTCGTAAAAACGTATACGCGCGCGCTGGAAACCAAGGTGTCCCGTAGAGGCACCATCTCCCGAGGGAGAGAAGCCGTACGTGGGGCATCGCGGGCGATGCATCACCGCTGCACCCCACGCGGTGCATCTCGGTATATTAGTCACCGGAGAACGCGCACCAACCGCCGCGGCCAAATTGAGTCTTTGCCATAAAGTAAGCCGTAAAAAAGGGCGGCAGTCACGGGGAAATGCGGCAAGAGGAGGGCACGAAGAATCGTACCGGAGCGGGGCGGGAGGGAGGGGGGAG